ATAATATCCACATAATAGTTATCGTCTACATATTATTGTGCGGAGTGAGTCGGGAGAAATGAGGGGGGCCCACAGTCGGATCTGCCCCCCCCCCCTCCCCCGTGTTGAAAGAGGTCGCTGTGTCCCTGAGCGCGCCAGGAACTCTGTCAAGGCTGAGTCTATCTAGGGGAGGTCCAGGATCGGTGGAGCTCGCCTAACCACTGCGCCACCACTCCCCACTGTGTTTCCACTCCACAAACCCAAAGGTCCCCCGTACAGTCTGTACAGACTGTTGGGGCAAGTCAGGGGGTTCGTAGCGCAGTGCGCCGACCACTGCACTACTGCTCCCCACACACAGAACACTCACGTACACAAGCACTCACACTCACACAAACACTCACACCCACTCACACTCACTTACACAAGCACTCACACTCACACAAACACTCACACCCACTCACACGAACACTCACTCACACAAACACTCACACAAACACTCACACCCACTCACACTCACTTACACAAGCACTCACACTCACACAAACACTCACACCCACTCACACGACCACTCACACAAACACTCACACCCACTCACACGAACACTCACTCACACGAACACTTACTCTCACGAACACTCACACTCACACCCACTCACACTTACACGAACACTCACACCCACTCACACGAACACTGACATTCACTCACACGAACGCCCACTCACACCCACTCACTCACACGAACATTCACACACTCACTCACACGAACACTCATTCACACACTCACTCAGACACTCGCTCACACTCACGCTCACTCCCACGAACACTCACACTGAACACTCACTCACACGAACACTCACTCACACGAACACTCACTCACACTCACTCACGCTCACTCTCCCTGCTCCCACGGGCACCCGCACAGGCGCGCTTAGGAATGTGACCCAGGAATGAAGAAGCAGAGCGAGACGACAGGACACGGAGACAGGAGACACGGAGACAGGGGACACGGAGACACGGAGACACGGAGACAGGGGGACACGGAGACACGGGGACACGGAGAGAGGACAGGCCACACGGAGACGCATTCGTACTGTACTGTCATTCACAGACGCACTCGCTCATTCACTCTCAACCACGCAAGTATGCACACAGATCTCTGTGTAGCCTCCACGGCCTGTTGGGGCAAGTGGTGGAGGTTGCCAGCTCGTAAAGTGCTCGGAACGGCGCACCACGGGCACGGTGTGTCCAGCACCACACCCAGGGGACACAGACAGACACACACACAGACACACAGACACACACACAGACACACACAGAGACACACACACAGACACACACACACAGACACACACACACACCGACACAGACACACAGACACACACACACAGACACACACACACAGACACATACACACACACAGACACACAGACACACACAGACACACACACACACAGACACACACACCGACACACACAGACACACACCGACACACACCGACACACACAGACACACACACCGACACACAGACACACACACAGACACACACAGACACACACACAGACACACACAGACACACACACAGACACACACAGAGACACACGCACGCACTCCATCACTCACTGTACGCGGCTGAGTCACCCCGACGACCCCAGCCAAAAGGGATCCCTACGTGAGGGGGACCCCAGGGGGTCGCCGACCCCCCTTGAGCCCCCAGCGTGACGGGTCACCCTCGGAGTTACGAGGGGCGGGGGGGGTCGGTGGAGGATCCCGCGTCCTCACCTGTGGTGGCTCCCCGGAAGGGGTCCACGCGAGACCCCCTCGCCCGCCCCAGGTGGCCTGCAGGAGCCACGCGGGCGGCAGGGCGCGAGAGACGAATCCCCACAGCCGCGACACCCAGAGCCACAGCCGCGACACCCAGAGCCACAGCGAGCGCATCCCCGGGGCGAGGGGGGCCCAGAGGGGACCTTGAGGGGGACTTTGGAGGTAAGGGGCGGGGGGGGGGGGGTCCGATGGCAGCACGGCTCCCCCAGGCGGCAGCCGCAGCAGCCGCGCGGGGCGAGAGCGCGGCGAGCGTGGCGGGTCTCACTGCTGGCACACACACCTGTGTGGCCGCCGGGAGTCTCAGGGCGAAAACTACCCCCCTGCTCCCTCCTGGCTCTGATCCCTCCCCCCCCTGCTGTGACCCCTCCTTCCCTCCCCACCTCCCCTCCTTCCCCCCACCTCCCCTCCTTCCCCCCCACCTCCCCTCCCTTTCCCGACTCGCCCCACCCTCGCTCGCCAGAGCCGTCAAAGTCAATCGGCAGGAGGGAGGGGGAGGAGGGAGGAGGATGGAGGGAAGGAGGGGGAGGATGGAGAGGCGTGGAGGAAGAGTGAGTTGGGAGTGATGGTCGCGATTCATCGTCACGGACCCACCACGGCTGCTGTTGTGTTTGCGCCGATTGCTGCTCTCGATTCGTCTCTCCTCGTTGGTGGAGACCCAGGGACCTCGTGCGCGACTTGGACTCCTGTCCACAACACGAACTTTTACTATTCTTTTTTATTTTACCAGGCAAGGCCCACCGGGCTATCACAAATGACTAGCCCAATGAAGTGGCTAACCGTCTGGAAATGAATATCAGCAGCCAAACACTCTAAACGAGTGATGTCTATGCTAAATATGGAGGGGAAACACCGCAGGACCCGAAGGAAAATCCACGCGACCACGGGGAGAGACTCAGAAACACACAGACGCCAAACAGACAGCAGCAGCAGCAGGCGTCAGGGTCGGGGTAGAACCCACGACCTCCTGCATACCAGGCGAGGTCGTTAACATCTCGCCAAATGGGACTCAAAACAGGGCTAAATACATCCGTGTAGCTTACACGGGCTGCTCTGACCAGAAACCACGCTCGGCCGCCTTTGCCTCCCCTGTGCTGACGTGTACACATCGCGGCAGGCTGATGCGGCCTGCCAAGATGTGAATCAGCTCAGAACCGATTCAGATATTCGCCTCCTCCACGCACACCCACAAGACAAAGGTCCCCCGTGTAGCCTTAAAAGACTGAGGCGCAAGTGCTGTTAGGGAGCACTTATGAAGGCCGGCACGGCACACGAGGGGGTGGGTGGCCAGCACCACGCCCGGCCGCCTTTGTCTCCCCAGTGGCGATGTTCACTACACACCGCACCCGGTACTCATTTGAGGGGGACGCCCAGGACCGGTTCAGATACTCGTCACCGCTGTTGGCTGTGAGTGGGAATCGAACTCGTGTCGCGGGTTCCTAGCGCAGCGCGCTCACCACGACACTACACACACACAGACATCGCCACACACACACAAAGACACACACACAGACATCGCCACACACACACAAAGACACACACACAAAGACATACCTCCCCCCCACACACACATACCCACACACCCCCCACCCACACACATACCCACACACACACAAAGACATACACACACACCCCCCACCCACCCACATACCCCCACACACACATACCCCCCCCCACACACACACATACCCCCACACACACATATACCCACACACACACATATACCCACACACACACATATACCCACACACACACATATACCCACACACACACACATACCCACACACACACACATACCCACACACACACACATACCCACACACATACCCACACACACACATACCCACACACACACACACATACCCACACACACCCACACACACCCCACACACACACATATACCCACACACATACCCACACACACCCACACACACCCCACACACACACACCCCACACACACCTGTAGCCCTGCATGCCATGTGGTCTCCCCACGCGGTCCACACGAACCGCCGTCGCCCCCACGCGTATGGGACCAGCGCTGCACGTGGTGTGGAGCGGTGGCGCAGTGGTTAGCGTCTACACCAGCGCTGCACGTGGTGTGGAGCGGTGGCGCAGTGGTTAGCGTCTACACCAGCGCTGCACGTGGTGTGGAGCGGTGGCGCAGTGGTTAGCGCGCTGCTCAACGTTCCCCGCTCACCGCCAACAACAGTGACGCATATCTGAACCGGTCCTCATGGGCCTCCCCTAGGTCGCCTCAGCCTGAAATGATAATCTGGTGTTGCGTGTAAACATCAAAACTGGGGAGACAAAGGCGGCCGGGCGTGGTGCTGGACACAACAACACCCCCTCGTCTACCGTGCCCGCCTTCATAGATGCTACTCGCTAACAGCACTTGCCCCACGAGTCGGTTTAAGGCTATACGGGGGATCTTTGTCTTTAAATCTTAATGAGCTGCAGACTCCATCACGTGAGGGGCGGGGAGGGACCGAGGGGGTCTCGCGTGGACCCCTTCCGAGGAACCACCACAGGTGAGGACGAGGGACGCGAGATCCCCCCCCCCACTTCCTAGCCCCCCCCCCCCGTCTCGTGACCACCGAGGCTGACCCCTGACGCCGGGCCCTGAGGGGGGGGGTGGGGTGACCCCTGGGCCTCCTCATCCTGGCGATCCCTTTCGGTTGGGATCGTCTGTGTGGGTAAGGGGCTTGATGACTCGGCGCGCACAGTGCGCGTGTGAGTGTTCCCTGGGCCGACCCCTAGGTCGACTTAAATCAGTACCCGGGGAGACAAAGGCGGCCGGGCGTGGTGTCAGCGACACCCAAGCCCGTCGCGTGCCATTGCGGCCCTCCTCGTCGGCGCCCGTTCACAGCCCTCGCCCCCCGACAGTCGCGACGTCTGAGCCTCCACGCAAACACAAACTACTAGAGCCCTTGCTTTGACAACACCCCATCAGCCACACGGCCTTCCGTGGTTCATTTAATTTGCTCCGATCTCTATTCGCTCCATCGCCCGCCTGTGCCGTCGACGTCATTGCATCTGAGTCGAGACTTGTCGGGAGAAGCAACCCGCACGGACCACCTGCCGAGGTGCCCCCGGGCACCGCCATGCTGCTACGCCTCAAGATTTGGCAATGGCCACACCAGAAGTGGTGACCTGTGCAGGGTATTTGTAAACGACCGTAGCGGTTGGACAGGAGACACGACGGCGATGAAGACGACTCGCGACCCAGGGGTCATGCTCGTGGACGAGTTCTCGTCCTGGTCACTCAAACACGGGCGCCACGGTGGTTAGGAGACGTTAACTACCTCGCCTGTAATACAGGTGGGGGGGAAACAATTATTGATGTTTTTATTTACCAGCTGTAAGGCCCCACTAAGCTACGTAGTTCTTTTTTTTCACAAGCGACCTGGCCATCACAAATGATAGCCCAACGAAGTGGCTTATCGCGTGTAAATGTATAGCAGCCAAATGCTCTAAGCGCGTGGTGATGTTGATTCTAAATATGGAGGGGAAAACCGGAGGACCCTGAGAAAAGTCCACGCGACCACGGGGAGAACACGCAAACTCCAAATATGCAGCAGGCGTCAGGGTTGGGATCGAACCCACGACCTCCTGCATACCAGGCGAGGTAGTTAACATCTCCTAGCCACCGTGGCTCCCACGGTATACAGGAGGTCGTGGGTTCGACACTGACGATGCCTGCTGTGTATTTGGAGTTTGCGTGTCTCTCTCTCCCCACTGCCGCGTGGATATTTGTCGGGGTGCTCCGGTTTTCCCCTCCACATTAAGAATCAACATCACGCGTTTAGAGCTTTTGGCTGCTATATATTTCGACGTGATAAGAAACCACTACGTTGAGCTATCATTTGTAAACGCCAGCTCGCGTCTCGAAGAAATTGCTTCATCGCTCAGTGGGCCTTACCTGGTAAAACAAAACAATACGTTTAGCTGTACCAGAAGTTTACAAACAACTCGGCAACGGAAAGTGTCAAAACTCGCTGGGAAGCTCAACACGGAGCCCAGAGCGAGCAGCCCCGCCCACTGAGTCAGCCCCGCCCACTACCACACAGCCCCGCCCACTTTCTACATAGCCACGCCCACTTTCTACACAGCCCCGCTCACTTTCTACACAGCCACGCCCACTTTCTACATAGCCACGCCCACTTTCTACATAGCCACGCCTACTTTCTACATAGCCACGCCCACGTCACGACCCACCCCCACCCGTCGCTGAGAGGGCGAGGTGGGGGGGGTCGAGGTGGGAGCGCTAAATCTGTCACGCGGCACTCGCGGGGTTCATGGGAATCACAGACGGGGGCACGGGGGGGGGGGGTGACAGAGTGAGCGTGTATGGGGGTGGTGTTTGTAGGCGCTTGTGTGTGTGTGTGCTCGCTCATTACACTTGCCCCAACAGCCTGTTAAGGCTATACGGGGGGATCTTTGTATTTGTCTTCTGTGAGTGGAGAGCGGTGGCGTAGTAGTTAGCGCGCTGCGTTACGAACCCGGCGACCCGAGTTCAATTCCCGCTCACGGCCAACACCAGTGACGATTTATCCGAACCGATCATGGCCTTCCCCTAGGTCGACTCAGCCTCAAACGAGGACCTGGTGCGGTGTATAAAAACATCGTCACTGGGGAGACAAAGGCGGCCGGTCATGGTGCTGGCCACCCACCCCCTCGTGTGCCGTGTCTTGAGTGTGTGCACTTGCCCCTACGGTCAAATAAAGGCTACACGGTGGATCTTTGTATGTTCTGCGTGTGAGGGTACAGGCTGAATGTTTACAGTGTGTAAGAATGTGTGTGCGTGTGTATGTGTAAGAGTGTGTGTGCGTGTGCCTGTGTGTACTTGCTGGTGTGTGTTGTGTCAACACGTGCGTGTAAGAGCGCACGCTGCATGCTTCTGTGTGTGCGAGTATGGTATGCCTATCGTACAGTTACCATCTCGACTTGGTGGCGAGACGTTAACTACCTCGCCTGGTAGACAGGAGGTCGTGGGTTCAATCCCGACCCTGACTGACACCTGCACATGAGGAGTTTGCGTGTCTCTCTCCCCGTGGTTTATTAACATGCGTTTAGAGTATTTGGCTGCTAGACATTTCCACGTGATAAGTCACTTCGACGAGGTATAATTTGTTACCAGGTCGCTTCTGAAAAAGAGCTGTATAGCTCAGTGGGCCGTACCTGGTAAAATAAAGAATCGTTAAGAGTAGTAGTCAGTGTGGGGAGCGGTAGTGTAGCTGTTAGCGCACTGCGCAAACGAACCCTGCAAAGAGCCAAGCTGGATTCCCGCTCCAAGCCGTCATCAGTGGCATTCATTATCTGAAGCATTCACACGATACACACCACACATCAAGGCCGTAGCCATGGAGTCAACATTGGGGGGGACCAAATCTACCTGGGGGTCCCCCCCCCCCACCAAAAAAAATCTAAATTTTAAAACTAATTTCCTGCCTAAAATATAAAAAAAAATACTAACACATGGGATGGACTTTTTTTTACAATAATGTCTAATAGTATCACATTGCTGTTTTTTCTTTTTTACCTTTTCTTGTTTCATTGTATGTAATGGCAGAGATTAGGGATTTATAAAGTACAACCATCACCACAATCATATAAACAGAAATCTATTTTATAGCAATACATTGGGGGGGACATTTTGAGCACATTTGATGAGCACGGTTTGCTACGCGCGGTGCGAAAGACGTTCAACATACACAGCCACAGACATGCTACATGCGAACCGGTCCAGAACCTCCCTTAGGTCGACTCTGTCTAAAAACGAGTAGCCGGTGTCATGTGTGTGCCATGCGTGTGCCATGTGTGTGAACCACCAGGCAAAGGCGGTCGGACGTGGCGTCGATCTCACCGCCCGCTTGGTCTGCATAGTCTTGCTACCCGCTGACAGCGCTTGCCCCCGGCAAGTCGTCTGTGGGAGTGAGGCGACCCGGGGCGGACTGTTGTTTGCGCGTTGTGTGCTTTGGCGCCTCTGTACTTGGCGCCCAGTTTGAATCAGATTTGCGGGGCAAGGGGGAGGGGCTCGGGGCTATGGGGGAGGGGGTGACTTGAAGACCCCCAGGGATGTTCTCTGCTGACAGCTACTCGAGGGTGACGACGGCGGCTCCGTGTAGCGCGATCGCGCTCTCCGCTGCGCTCGCGGCAATCTCTCTGGGCCATCGGACGGGCAGCAAACCCGCACTCAAAGGGAACGCAGAGGTGGAGGCAGCGATGCGCGTGGGAGATTCACCGCCTTGCTGGGAGCGGCGTTGTCTGTGCGACATCTCTGTGCGTGCGTGCGTGTGCGTGCGTGCCTCTGTGGGGAGCGGGAGTGTAGCGGTTAGCGCGCTGCGCTACCAACCCGGTGACCAGAGGTCGATTCGCTCTCACGGCCACCAATTTACCAGCGACGAGTATCTGAACAGGTCCTGGGCCTCCCTTAGGTCGACTCAGCCTCAAATGAGTACCTGGTGCGATGTGTAAACATTGCCGCTGGGGAGACAAAGGCGACCGGGCGTGGTGCTGGCCACCCACCCCCTCGTGTGCCGTCCTGGCCTTCATAGGTGCTACTCGCTAACAGCACTTGCCCAAAAGTCTGTTGAGGCTACACGGGGGATCTTTGTCTTTGTGGGAGCGGTTAGTGCACCGCGCTACGAATCCGGCAATCGGAGGTCGATTTCCATTCACGGCCAACATCGGTGACGGATATCTGACACTAGTTATGGGCAAGCCTCCCCTAGGTTAACTCTGCCTCAAATGAGTAAACTTAAAACTTTTTAAAATTTTACCAGGTAAGGCCCCCCTGAGCTTTGAGCTTCTTTTCCAGAAGCGACCTGGCCACAAATGACAGCTCAACAAAGCGGCTTATCGTGTGGAATGTTTCATAGTAGCATGTTTCTAAATGTGGAGGTAAAACTGGAGGGCCCGGAGAAAAAAATCCACGTGAACACGGGGAGAACATGCAAACTCCAAATATAAAGGCAGTAGGGTCGGGATCGGACCCACGGCCTCCTGCATACCAGGAAAGGTATTTAACATCTCCTAGCCACCGTGGCGCTCAAAACAGCTCACATCAGTAGCATTCAATATCGGAGCCGGTCCTGAGCCTTCACGAAGTCGATTCGGTCTAAAGTGAGCACCTGGTGCAGTTCGTGAACATCACCACTGGGTGGCCGGGCGTGGTTCGAGCCACAACCACCCCTCGTGTGCCCGAGCGGCCTGAGTCGGTGCTCACTCGCAGTAGCTGCCCCGAGAGCCAGCTGAGACTCCATGGGGACATATCGACGCATTGGCGATGAACCGGTGCAGCATAACACACCGGCGTCCTAATGAAACCGTCTGACGAAGTCGCTGTTGCCCGTGAGTGAGCTGCAGCGTGCGCCGAAAAATTATTCCGGAAATTAATCGAGGAGCTGTCCGACCAAGTGTCGGGCGTGAGGAGTTGAATCTGCCTTTGGCACACGGAGCCAGCCATGCGTCATCAGGCTGGGTGCCGCTTTTCGGCAACAGACTGTGAAGCTTCGTGTTCTGCCGCTCATTCCTCTTCCGACTGCTTCGACATCACGAGAACCGATTTTGACTTGCACCCACCACCCCGCAAGACGTTCAAACCGCGGTTGCGAGTTGCGGGAAAAGAAAAAAAGTATTACGAAAAATTAGATTTTTGTATTTTGTGATACCACAAACCACCAGTGTACCGCCAATTCGTTCATACCCAGTATATATGGGCGCATACTGGCGGGGCAACCCACACTCCGTGGTGGAGCCAGGCGGTAACGCCGTGCCGCGGTGCGTTGACAGTAATGCCACGACGCTAGCGAGCTGCCTACCCTCATGGCGCGCTCACGTCACCAGCGTGGCGAACAGGGGCGCTGGACGGGCGCGAGGGCATACCAACCCACCCCCGCCTCAACTCAACTATTCTTTTACATTTTATCAGCTAAGGCCAACTGACCTGTATAGATTTTTTCAGAAGCGACCTGGTCATAAATTATAGCTCAACGGAGTAGCTATTCACGTGCAAATTTATAGCAACCAAATACTCTGAGCGCGTGATGTTGATTCTAAATGTGCGGAGAAAAACCGGAGGACCTGAAGAAAAATCCAGGCGACCACGGGAGGAACATGCAAACTCTAAATATACAGCAGGCGTCAGGTCGGCATCGAACCTATGGCCTCCTGTATACCAGGCGACGTAGTTAATATCTCGCCACCGTGGCACCCCAATGTAAATATGAAGAGATCACAACATCGATACTGGCTTGTGACCGCCTAGTCAAACCCCATATGGCAGCACCAGAAGACTGAACCTCCAGCACCCGATCTAGGTTCCTCCAGAAGCAATGGGTAATCGCTGCGGCTGACCACACGGAATGCCTGAACGCTGCCATTCCTCTGTCGGGAGCTGGACCAGTGCCGCGTGGACCTCTGCAGAATACAGAGATCCGGTGGACTGCTTCTGGCTCCAGTCACCACAGTGGGTGAACAGTCCTCCATCACTCAGTCCTCAATCCGAGGACAGGATAAACAGAAGGGAGTGGCTCTTATAGTATTAGGTTTTTACCCTTTCAACTGGTACAAAAACTTACACCTTTATACAAGGCATCATGTTTGCAATAACCACAACACAAGCAGTCAAAATGCAAACAAAAATAAACAACTCTGATGATGATAATGATATGCACTGTCCTTGAAGTTGATTGGTCCACACCCGAGACAGCTTTTCTTAGAGCCTAGTCTAACTTCAAGGACAGTGCATATCATTATCATCATCAGAGTTGTTTCTTTTTGTTTGCATTTTGACTGCTTGTGTTGTGGTTATTGCAAACATGATGCCTTGTATAAAGGTGTCAGTTTTTGTACCAGTTGAAAGGGTAAAAACCTATTACTATATTTTGCCACTGGAAAAGGAGGTCTCATAGTGGAGTGGCTCTTCTCAATAAAATGAACGGCGCTTGATGACGTGTGCGAAGCCGCGAGTTTCAGGCAACTGTGGACTCGCCTCCCCATCAACAGCAGGCAAGGAATGGTTGTGGTGGCCTGTTCACCCATCAAAGATGAACAACATATGGGTGATAGCGGAAATGCTGACGAGTTAGATGCATGATATGATCTCCTGTCCAAGGTGCGAGCTAAAGCGGCCTCTCGGGATAGAGTCATATTATGTGGGGACTCTAAAGCCCAAGTGGGCCATGATACAAGCACTTGAGCAGGTGATTGGAAGGCACGGGCCAGATCATCTCAAACGTATGAGGCTGCTGTGTAGCCCATGGGCTTGTAATCACCAACACGCTGTTCTGGCATCAGCACATTCACACACCATGGATGCATGCCGGGTGCAGGAAATAACATCTGCTGGACTATATGGTGACAGAACATACAATCTGGGCCCATGTCCTTGATACCAGGACCTACCGTGGAGCTGATCTGCCCAATGATCATCGGCTTGGTCCTCTGATTTTCCCCTCCACATTTAGAATCAACGTGTGTTTAGAGTATTTGGCTACTATACATTTCCACGTGATAAGCTACTTCGTTGAGCTATCATTTGTGATAGCCAGGTCGCTTCTGAAAAAGAGCTATACAGCTCAATTGGCCTTACCTGCTAAAATAAAAAATAGTTTGGCTTGTCATTCACCTGCCATTCTTCCACTGCAGTGGTTGCATCCACCTAGGAACCCTTTCAAACCCACAGTCGCCTGGACTCAGCTAGCTGCTGATGAAAGTTGCAAGCGATAATTTTATCATTGCTTGCAGCCGGGGTTGCCATCATCATCCTCCCTCCTCCTGATGCTGTGGGGAAATGGATGAGGTTCAGGAATGTGGCTCATGCATCTGATGATGGTGATGATGGTGGCGATGATTGAGGTTCAGGACTGTGGCTCATGCAACTGATGATAGTGGTGATGGATGAGATTCAGGACTGTGGCTCATGCAGCTACTATGGCTACACTGGATGCACAGTCCGGACCTCCCCAGAGACCCTGGCTGATGGAGGAGGTGTTCCAACTCGCTGACAGAGGCGGCAGGCCCACTCAGACCCTCTACAACATCCCTTGCCTGAGAATGAGGAGGCTTACCGCTGTCTTCGCTCGGAGATTCGGAGAGCCGTGCGGCGCAGCAGGGATGCTGCAGAGGGAAACTCGACACATCCATCAATAATCCTGTGCTCTTATGAAGGGATATATATACACGAAGCG